AGACCCCTCCTTGTCTCATTGTGGGCGTGAATCCTTATGGAGGACTCATTATTTTCGATGCTAATAAACGTATCAGCACTTATTTGGTAAAAAAGGTGCCTCTCGAGTTGTTTGATAACGATCCAGTGGTAACGATTGGGGCATCCCATGGCTGGGTAGCTACCAGATTGAGTTATGACGGAAGTCTGCGTCTCCAAGATGATCTAAACCCATATGCATCGGACAAAGATCCGAAACGCATCTCGCTGCCTCCTCTTGTAACTCTGCCTCATTGTCAAACCGAAATCGTCACTAACGTGGCAATGTCGTCCTCTTCTCCAGAGGATGAAGACTGTGTTGTCGCTCTCAAGTTCTTGGGACCTCAGCTCAGCTTTTGCAGACCCGCTCAGGGTAACTCATCCGAGTGGACCAACATCAGGATCGAAAACCCCTGCTTCTACTCCTCACGTGTCATGTTTTCCAAGAAAGATGACATGTTTCGCATTCCCGGATCCGGAGGCCACCTCATCGGATCCTGGGATCCCTGCAAGCCCAGCGATGAACCCACGACTCTGGGGTACTTGCGGTTCCGAAACCTTCCCCACCTGACCAAGACCAGACAGGAGCTTTTGCATTCGTGTTGCACGAGCGAACATTTGGTGGAGTCAATAACCACAGGTGAAACTTTCATTGTTAAGTGGTTCAGGAAGACCGGCAAGGGTACCTCCAAAATGAAGACAAAAGCTTTAATGGTGTTCAAGCTAGACGATCAAGGAAACGCCGTTTACACTGAAGACATCGGAGATCTCTGCATTTTCCTCTCCAAGTCTGAGCCTTTCTGTGTCCATGCTAGCTCCTTTCCCGGCATAGGGCCTCATCCCGGCATAGGGCCTAACAAGGTCAAATTCTCTGATGTCGACGAAGATGGAACTCTCGATCTGTGGTATTCCTCTATCATATCTCGTACTACTACACTCAAGGCCCCATACCATATTCCACCTCAAAATATAAACTAGCTAGTAGTTTGGAATTGAGAATTGGTCCCTTGCTTAGTTCCACCTCCAAACAATATAGATTACTAGTACAAGTAGAAATTCCTCATCTTTCACTATGTTCCAGTTTTTTGCATTACTTAAACTACATGTATGCCGTTTACTTTGTTTCTTTCATGTCCAAGCAATCTTGTTGGTTGTCCATTTTCTACCTTTACCACTGTTACTACTTTTGCTTCGTCGAATTTACCACAAAATTTCCGGATCTCTACTACTACTTGTAATTGAAGGCCACGTAACCTGACTTTTTTAGATCAGTTGATACGGATCTTGCTCGAAAAAATAACAATGTTATGTAAGGAAGATGAGGCTGTTTTAGTGCCAAGTACATACAGTTTACAAGTGTGACGATTCAAGTGAATCCTCTTTCTAATGTGGAAGTCTATTGTTCTTGCTTGTGTATAAACTTGATAACCTCAGGAAGATTATGTTGTTGGAGCATCTTCAACTTCATATGCTGGAATCGAGAATTGTAATTTGATTTAATGTTGGCATCCTAAAAAACAGGTACCGTATATTATTTGCTCATCCCAAAACTTGTTCAGGCAGAAAAATGAGGACGATATGATTCTGGATATGTTTTGAGTTGAAGTGAGTGTGACTTTTAAGTTTTCCACGTGGTTCATTAGTTAAAGTGAGTGTGACTTTGTGTTTGATTGTGTAGTTTCTCAAACAAAGCCACTTGTTTGACAAACGAGGATTTTGAGTGTGACCGGTTTCAAAGCTTCTTCATCAACTGTCTTCACAACTCTAAGAAGCTCACCAGACACACCCTTGATCAGACCCCCAGAATTATCACCTTTCTCAAGCGCAAGCTCGATTCTTTCATCAACCTCTATCACTTCTTCATAAAGATTTGACGGTTTCGCCACAGTGAGATCAAAGATATCGGGCCGAGCTTGGTTACCTATCTGCAACAAATCCTTAAACCCTTTTGTAACACACAAAGCTATTCTTTCCCCTTTCCTTTCCAACAATGCATTTGTTGCCACAGTAGTACCCATTCTTATCCACTGAATTTTATCAGTTGGTATCTTAGATGTTCTCGGTATCTTCTTCCCCGTGTACTCCTCGAGTATCCTCCTTATTCCTTCAACGGGAGCATCATCGTAGTTAGCTGGATCCACTGATAAAAGCTTCAAGACACGACCATCGGAAAGCCCCGGAATCTCGGCATAAACATCAGTGAAAGTACCTCCTCTGTCAATACAAAATCTCAGCTTCCCTTCAGTAACACTCCCCATCTCTCACTCCCTGCACACATCACAACTCAACACAATAAGATTCCCCATAAAACCTAACCCTATCACAAGAATCAAATTCTCAGTGGAAATGACGCTAATCAAATCACTAATTAACACACAACGCCGATATTAAGGGATCACAACATCGATTCATTAAATCGTAAGAGATTACTTATATGATCATGATCATAGCCAGATAACGAGATTTTCAGACACAATCAATAGAAACTAAGCGACAAGAGCTAGGGATCGGTACTCAAACCAAGATTAATGGTAGAGAAAATCGCCGGAGAAGAAGCTCCAAGTCCGAAGAGCAGAGAGTCAACACTCAATAGAGTAGTGAGTGGGTGAATCAGAATAATGGAAGTGACGATGATATCATCATGAGATGGATAAATTATGGAGGATCGATCTGGCAGATTCTTTTGCTTCTCCGGTTTGACTAAATTCCTTCGGTTTAGGGGTGTTAACCATTTGATTTAGGGGTGTTAAATCCCATTTCGATTCGGATTTTTTAGGGGTCAAAACATTTTTTAGTGTTTAGAATTTTAAGATATAGGGTTTAAAAATCTATAATTAGTGGCATTTTTGCAAATGAACACCTCTAAATGGCATTTTTGCAAATGTGCACATAAAAATGGCATTTTTGCAATTTTATCTTTAATTTTTGGGTTTATAAAAAGAACAATTCTCCAAACTACCATATTTTTAATTTTTGTTTCAAAATATACTACCATTAGTTTTATTTTAGGAGAATTTTTTTAAAAATGCACTTTTGAAATGCCATTTTTCAAAAATGCCATATTTTCAAAATCTTTGCAAAAATGCCACTTTTTCAAAATTATTTTTTCGTTATATCATTTATGTTTGAGTTAACTATGTTGTA